ACATAGATCATGCATGTGCGCATACATTGCTGCAATGAATTACAAAGGAAACAGGCACACTCAATTTTCTCCCATTTCCTGCTGATGTTGTTGATTCTTTACAGAAACCCAGAAGTCCTATCATATCCATTCCACATCAGATGAGCCAAGGCATGAACCAATGATAGGCTGGCTGAGCCTGAACTCATTGGCATGTAACACTCATTTAGACTCATTTTCTAGTCAAGACTAGGACCTGAGGGTACAGCCTCGGAGTGAAGTAATGACCCTTTAGAACTGAGGTGAGGAGGAATTTCTTCAGCCAGAAGGTGGAACTCATTGTCACAGAGGGCTGTGGAGACCACGTCATTGAGTGTATTTAAGAGAGAGAGAGGTTCTTGATTGGTAGGAGGATCAAGAGTTACGTGGATAAGGCAGGAGAATGGAACTGAGAAGCCTATCTGCCATGATCGAATGGTGGACCAGACTCGATGGTGTAATTCTGCTCCTATGTATTATAGTCTAATGGACAGCAATAAACTTCTTACCCCCATTCCACAACAGGGAAACTGAGCTAATAGGGGAATTTTCCCAGGCAAGGAGATAGATTTGCGTGCAATAAATTAAACACCCTACATTTTTTGACAAGTGATTGGCAACTTCTTGGAAGTCAGTCTACTTGTCTTGCACTTCACTCACCTTCAGCTGCACTTCCCTGTTATCTGCCTTCACTATGGCATAGACAAAGTTTATGTAGCTCTCACTTCTTTCTCCTATAAAAAGAAAGAGGAGTTCAACACTCACAACAGCCGCAGCAGCAGCAGTAACAAAAACAACACAACAGCAGCACTAACTGCCTTCTCCTCAGCCACATGACTTTCAACAAGGCAAAGGGGAATGGTATGGTGTAATGCTAATGACTCTGAACTAGTTATCCAAAACCTGAAACTAATGTTCTGGGAATATAGTTTCAATAAAAATCTGGAATAACACTGGAACAGTGTAATCACTGTTGAATATTGTAGAAACCCATCTGATTCACAGATGTTTTTAGAGAAGGACATCTGCCTCCTTACCTGGTCTGGCTTTCACATGACTCCAGGCCAACAGAAATGTGCTTACCCAAAAACTGGCCTCTGGGCAACTAGGGATAGACAATAAGTGCTGGCCTAGCCAGCAATGCCCACATCCAATTAACTATATATATTTTTAAAAACTAGCCATTTCCAAGGAGGCAAGACATCAACAAACTCCTCAAACAAATCTTCTTTCTGAGTTGGCTGGGTGTGCACATATTGCCAGTGTCATTTAAGATGCTGTCACTGGAGGTCACTTCCTGTTCCTCTCCCCTGGACTGATCTCTGGCTCTTGCTACAGAATGTTAAACTTCAGGAGCAGGAGCACCAAAGCTTAATGTTCTTCAGTTATTATGACATGTCCTGGTGTCAATTTAATTAGATTCCCTTTGTTTGACGGAACCAGTGTGTCATCTCACCAGCTCTCTTAGACTGGCCAGAGAACCTAGATGTAGAATTCAAATCCTATGAATCAATTAAAGATCTTCAGCAAAGCCTGCCTCAGCTGTCAATGAATTCATGGTCCACTAGGTGTCCTGACATTTAGCCAGTAATCAAGTTTGGGAAAATTTCACCCAATGCCTTGGCTGTGGCATGCATATTCATTGGTGTGCAATTTATCATTTGTAGGTGTATCTTGCTCTTAATTTAACATCTATCTTTTTCCTTTTCACAGGATACAACCATCAAAGTACAAAGCCACGTCTTCCATATGTGGAGATTTTATAACTTTGCCAGGATGCGCAAAGGAGCTGATTACTTTATTGTACTAGCAAGCAATAACTATGTGAATTGGTGGTCATTTGCCCAGAGTGTAGTCATTGTTTCATCTGGTATTTTACAGCTTTACTTTCTGAAGCGTCTATTTGCTGTCAGAGTCACCAATGCGAGTGAAAACCTCAGATGTTAGACATAGTTACAGTGAAAAAATTAACTGTTAATATGGGTGGATTACTAAAAAATTACAAATTTTAATCAAGCTTTATCATTTCATCTAAGTTTCAGTTTTCATGGGCCAGTGACTGACCATTCAATCCTAGTTTACTGAGTTTCCTTGATGCCTCAACTGCCCTTGTTTGATTCTCACAAGACAATAAGGTTAATCTATCCACACATTGATAAATATGCCTGTCGGAAACTTGTGGATGCTCTTTTACGGCTTTATTAGAATGTGGATGTACAAAACTGCTGACGTCTGATTATTGCTAATATTCAAATTTTGAAGGAGTTTTTTTTCCCAGGGATGATACAAACAAAATGCATGGGAAAGTGATCACAACCAACACATTTATTTCTTTTTATTCCTTTCACGCTGTGTTTAACCCAGTCTCCATTTCATGTTTTCCATTTCCTAGATTCAAATTTTGTTTATCTTGAAATCATTGTGACACTAAATTGTTCAAAATATGAGACTGTACATTTACTAAATTAAAATAACTCCTATCAGCTATGTTCAGTGTATTGGGACTTTTTGTATTGTGCCAAGTAGGCATAAGCTTTTAAAAGGAAGGGCATCTTGGAAATAAACAAAGGTCAGTCTAACCTTTGGGAGATTTTAAATAAACAACATTGGTCTATAAGTTCAGATGCATTTATTCTTGGGCATAAAGCCAGTTCAGGGAGCAATCCTAGGAATGAATTGCCCATCAGCTGAGTCACTAAATGCTCCAGAATGGTAACATCCTGATTGTAATGTGTTAATGACTTCCTTTTATCCAAGATTGATTAATGGTATTAAGAAACTACAATCAAGAGCTATGTTATTCAAAGCAAAAATAAATACTTGCAATTCAGCCAGTTAGTCAGAGAAATTATGGGGGTAATTTTAGCCCCAGAGAAATGAGTTGTTTGAGAATGGATAGAGATAAAAATGATTGAGTTTTGATAGAAAGCTCAGCCTGGTTCCAATGTATCCACTTCTGGGTTTAATAGAGATGCATTTGGAGGGGATGTGTGACATCCAACAAAGTTGATGATGCACCTCCATCCTTCTCATTCTCTACAATAGCCCCAGGGGTTCAGCATCTATAACCAGTAGAGCTTGGTGCCAATTGTACCTGCCAACACAGACTCTCTACAATTGACCTTGTCAACAGTTCTGTGCAAGTTCATGTTGTCCCTTGCTTTCCTTCTTCAAGGCATGACACTAAACCTATCTCTTTCAGCAAGCTTTTGGACATCTGCCTGAATATCTCATTACATGGCTCACCGTATATTTTGGTTTATGGTGCCCCTGTGAAGAACTTAGATTGTTTATTTGCGGCAATATAAATATAACTTTTGTTGTTCTTTCACCCACGTATCCTCAACATATAGATCAGGAAGGTTTAAGGTTTGAGCCTGAATGTGCACTGGGTTAGCTGATGCAAGGCTATAAAAAGTAGCTTGAAGTGGGGAAAGCCTCAAGATGAGAAAGCAACAGTAAGGGTGGAATCTTCTCAGCCCCTGAATAACATGGTCTATGGCAAGAAAATTGGGAAAATTGTATGAGATGACCAATGAGGAGTTTCTTGGCATTGAGAGGAAAAGATCTAATTTTTTCAGCCAAATACCAATCAGTGAGAAGAGATTGTCACCAATGAGCAATGTGAGACATATTAGCATATCATTATTAGTTAATCTCTTCTCATTATCATAATCTCCTCATAATTTCTCCAATTGATATACAAAGGGATCTGGGCATGCATATTAACATACAGAGGATCCAGGTGTACAGGTCCACAGATCTCTGAGAGTGACAACACGCCTGATAAGGTGGTCAAGAAGGCATACAGCATGCTTGCCTTCATCAGCCAGGGCATCGAATATAAAAATTGGCAAGTTATGTTAAAACTGTACAAAACTTTAGTTAGGCCACATTTGGAATATTGTGTACAGATCTGGTCGCAACACTACCAGAAGGGTATGGATGCTTTGGAGAGGGTGCAGAGAAGGTATACCAGGATGTTGCTTGGTCTGAGGGTTTTAGTTATGAGGAGAGGTTGGATAAACACAGACTGTCTCCACTGGAAATACAGAAGCTGAGGGGTGACCTTTGAGAGGCATGTATATGGTAGATAGTCAGGGGCTTTTTTCCCAGGGTGGAGAGCTCAACTACAAGAGGGCACAGGTTCAGTGTGGGATGGGAGAAGGTTAGGAGAGAAGTACAGGGAAAAGTTTTCACACAGAGGGTAGTGGTACCTGGAATGCAGTGCCATTGGAGGTGGTGGAAGTGGAAGTATTTTACAACATTCAAGGCGTATCTTGATAGACACATGAACGGGAGGTGAACACAGGGATAGGAACCTGTATGGACAATTAGTAGCAGGTCACAATAAGAATTAGGAATTAGCAGAGGCTTGGTGGGCCAAAGGGCCTGTTCCTGTGCTGTACTGAGTTGAATATAATTGTATTAATGTGCAGTTACCCATTCTTCCATCCACTGGTAGAAACTAGACTGTGATAATCCCCAAGGTGAAATTCAAAGCACTTTCTTGGCAACCTCAACTTGTTGCTTGCTCCTCTGGATCAATATCATGAGCACCCAGCACCAACATCTCAAGGCATGGTCTATGGACAGTGACCACACATGCCTCTTTGTCCATAGACCTTGGCATCAGAAGCAAAATAGCCACACTGCATCATCATGGATGTTTCAGATGCATATACTGTATGATTTAGGACTTCAGTGCTACGTTTTGGAGTGCACTTTCACTGGAATGCTACATTGAAGAGTGCTTAAGGAAGTGGCCCTAGGTATACTGGATGCATTGGTGATCATCTTTCAAGGTTCTGTAGACTCTGAAACAGTTCCTATGGACTAGAGGGTAGCTAATGTAACCTATTTTAAAAAGGTGGTAGAGAGAAAACAGGGAATAATAGACAGTTAACCTGACATTGGTAATAGGGAAATGATAGAGAACATCTCAAAATTTTAACAGCAGAGCACTTGGAAAATAGTGAAAGTATCAGACAGAGTCAGTATGGATTTATGAATGTGTGACAATACTATAACTTTAAGAGGCATATTTTATCTTTTTTTTGAAGATGTTTTAAGATGAAGTGACAAGCTGTCTTTTGAAAGCCCATAAAGTGAACAGCTTGTGAGGCCTTGGGGTTTCTTTTTAAGTTGGAACAATAGAAACAAGCCTGAATGGGTGGCGCAAGCTCCCACAGAGCCAGGATTTTTAGTTTCAGTTTCTCATTAGCATTTGTTGCTGGGGTCTAGAAGCTGTGTTTGGAAGCTACAGTACATCTCTCTCAGCTACCTTGTCTCTCAGAGTTTTCGTTTGATGCTTTCCCTCCTGGACTGGAGAATTGCCTGTGAGACAATCGATTTTGCTCAATTTGCCTTTGCCTGGGGTGTGTTTGTGAGATGTTACTATATTGGAACAGTTACTGTTTCATATCTAAATAATATGTTATTCTGTTAAGTTTTCTAGTAGAGTTAATTTTGCAATTTCTTCTTTCTTTTGTTGTATTTTAACTATAGTGTATGAATAAATTGTGTTTTGCTTCTAATCTGGTAGTTTGACCAATCAAATTGCATCTGGAACACATGCCCGGCACTTGCCTTTAAAATAAGAAAAAGTTAAGGTTTAGGCTATCTTTTTCATATATTTTGAGGGATTTTAGTCTGGTCCATAACAAATGGGAAATCATGCTTGACAAATCCATTGGAGTTTTTCGAGGATGTAACTAGTAGAGTTTGAAAAGGGAGAGCCAGTGGATGTGGTTTACTTGGACTTGCAGAAGACTTTCCAAAAAGGTCCTACATAAGAGATCAACATGTAAAATTAAAGCACGTGACATTGGGGGTACAATACTGACTTGGATAGAGAATTGGTTAGCAGACAGGAAAAAATGAGTAAGAATAAAGGGGTCTTTTTCCGAGTGGGGTACCACAGGGATCAATGCTTAGATTCCAGCTATTCAAAACATATATTAGTGATCTAGATGAGGGAACAAATATGTAACTTCTCCAACTTTGCAGATGACTCAAAGCTGGGTAGGAGAGGGAACTGTGAGGAGCATGTAGAGATGCTTCAGTGTGATTTGGACAAGCTGAGTTAGTAGAAAAATGCGTGGCAGATAAAGTATAATGTGGATAAATATGAAGTTATCCACTTTGGTAGTAAAAGTAGGAAGGCAGATTATTATCTGAGTGGCAATAGATTGGGAAAGAGTGCAATGAGAAATGAGTATCCTTGTACATTAGTTAATGAAAATAAGCAAACATATGCAACAGGTAACGAAGAAGACAAATGGCTTGTTGGCCTTCACAGCAAGAGGAGCCGAAATGTCTTGCTGCAATTGTACAGGCCTTGGTGAAACCATACCTGCAGTACTGTGTGAGGTTCTGTTCTCATTATCTGAGAAAAGTTGTTCTGGCTACAATGGGAGTGCAACTAAAGTTTTCCAGACTGTGAATGCTTGGATGGCAGCACTGGTATATGAAGAGAGACTGGATGACTATACCAGTTAGGACTATGTTTACTGGAGTCTGGAAGAATTAGGTTGGGTTGGGGCTAGGGGTAGGAATCTCATTGAAAGCTGTGAACTTCTAACAGGACTAAGATAGGGTAAACACAGGAAGGATATTTCCAATGACTAGGGATCCCAGAACCAGGGATCACTGTTTATTGATACGGGGTAGGTCACTTAAGGCTGAGATAAGAAGAAAATTCTTCATCTAGGGAGTGGTGATCCTGTGGAATTCTGTGCCATAGAAAGCAGTTGAGGCCAAAACATTGAATGTTTTCAAGAAGGAGTTAGACATAGTTCTAAGAACTAAGAATCAAAAAGTATGTGGAGAAAGTGGGAAAAGATACTAAGTTGGATGATCAGCCATGATCATACTGAATGGTGACATAGTCTCAAATAGCTGAATGATATATTCATATTTCTGTTTTTCTAAGTTTCCATGCTGCTGCGAAGACATTTTAAGCACAGGGAGAGGCAGCTATTTTATGGATTGGACCAGGCTGCATCTCAGAGCTGCTTGATCTCTTCTAACTCCCAATTACTTTGTGCTTAATTTGATGCTCACAACACCCCTGCCTTGCCTTGTGTTTTGGCACTTTGGTGCCTCAGCCAGGGCCTAAAGATTCACAATACTTCTGTCTTGCCTTACAGTTTAGAACAGACACAAAACCAGGTTGTCTGCAGTGATCAGTTATGAAAGTGATCATTGTTGCTGTATGGCTCTGTACTATATCAATCTCATACCTACAGAATGCACTAGCAGCGTATGCAGCAAACATATTGTTGATTCAGTGCACTGTTATCCCATCAGTGCAAATTTCTTCTGTTTTGCAGTAACGTATAACTAGGATTACGAGCAAACTCCATAGGTATATTAATTACCTGGGAGGAAATGAAAGGCTGAATGGTGTATTGAGTTAGAATATTTACAGAAATTATTACTGAAAGAATTATGGACTAGGTTTGAATATATTGTAGAGTAAAAAG